ACAATGTTTAAAATTTACAAAGATATGCCCAACTCTAACTGATTTCCAATCTGAATTAGTGTGTGAACGTTGAAGGAGGCCAGTTTGAATGGTATAGGTGCTTTCATAGAAGCTGGTTCAGAATTCATATTCTGAGGAAGCGTTCAACTCTCTACTAGTTAGTAATTTGAGATTGGACGGGATTTCCACAAATACGTAATCTGCTGTATGAATTGGTGAATAAAGAAATATACAAAATAGGAATAAAGGAATAGACGAATGACTCAATGTAATATAAAAACGAATATTATTTGGTAGTTTTGAGTATCATTTGCGAAAATGGGTATTATAGCATAAATAGTTTTCCTCGTTGTAGTCATCATTTAATACATGAAATGAAGTGAGTTCACTTCACTCGACTTTATTTTGTAAGTTGAGAATAAATAAACAAACCTTGAATATTATCAAAAGGGATTTTGTGGAGATTTTAGTAATTTCAATAGTTAAGATCATGAGTCAATTGAAGCTAGACCTTCATGGAAAACCTGGAAACACTGGACGGTCGTTTCATTCTATTATGGGATTCCTCAGAAGTGCTTCCAGGTTTTCCATGGTGGTCTAGCTTCAATTCACTCATGATCTCACCTACTGAACTTACTATAATATCCATAAAACCCCTCTCTGATTAAAATATATGTCAAAATAATAATTCAGTTTAGTTGAGAGATTTGAATTATCATGAATTTCAGATAAATATTTCAATTGACATTTCATTCCCAATTCAATATTTAAAAAGAAAACATGAAGTTCAGTGAAGGGATCTCTTTTCAACAAATAAATAAATAAATTATGATGAATATTCTTAGTTTATTTAGAATTTATTCACATTCTTATATTCTTTTGTTTATCGATTCTAATTCTAGAAAATGATCATTGTTTCATTGGTAACGACTTATAGAAATGATTGATTGTGATTGATTAATTACAAAATAATTATCATTCTTAATCAAATATATTTTATAAATTTATAGTTGATTATAGTAACATGAAACCAGTGATTTTTGTAAGAAGAAATTCATAAAAACCAATTGATATAAAAGATTTTTGTTAAGCGTTCACGTGCAAAACCGATGCTCCTGGGTTCGAGTCTAGCATATGGGATTATTGGTGCGCACTGTTGAGGAGTCCCATACTAGGACGAAATGGCCATCCACTGCCTACAGATCTTGATTGGTGTTCTAGGTATGAAGGCGGTTATCACTTCCCGGTCGCCCACACCTTGGAAGGATTCTTCTAGAGGTACCTGAATATGAAATCAGGTTAGAGATGGTCTTAGTGATTTGAAGGCGTGACCGCCCAAGGGACAATTGCTTTAGGCCTGTCACACACGACCTTTTTGCGAGTAGTTTTCGTGTTAGCTCCGTTATTGTTTAGATCTCATCGCTGGAGATGGAAATCTGTGGGATAAGGTGAGGTGTGTATTTTTAGGGTCGCCCTTTTCCTTGTGGGAAGGCAGTATCGCTGTTATTCTGGTTGTTTTTAATGGTGGATTAGGTTAACTCAACTTATGAATTCAATTGTTACAGATTTTTGTGATTATATTAATTTTGTCAATACATATTTCTAACTGTAAACATACAATTTATTAAAAGTTCCCATAATTATATGTACAAACCAAAAAATATATAAAATATTGAATAACATGAAATCTTTGGGATGATTTTACCTCTAATGATAATCCTAAAATGCGGTGAACATCACATTTTTATTCTACGACGTCATTTCATCGAATAATGAATATAAAAGTGTCAGAGTTCAATAGACTGAACTTTAAATATATTCAGATAAACTTACTTTAGTTATCAATCTATGATATCTGTATTGATAAATGATTGAATTGATGATGATGACGAGTGTTTGAAAGTAATCAACAAAACTACTTCATAATCTATATGTTATGTTAGCTGACATTTTTCAAGACAGGTTCTATGTGACATCATATGAATGAACACTTCGTGTAGGATTTGAACCTACGTTAAATTGTGTCACTAATAAATGTGATCACTTAGTAATTCGAGTAAAAAAAGGCCTTCCAAAGTAAAGAGATAACCAGGCCGTTTCACTGATGACTACTAATCAATATTATAGTTACTTAATCCTTAGTCCTAATGTAATTATATTGATCAAGTTGGATTGTAATCTCTAGTCTATCTGAATTGGCACCTCATATAATATGTTTTAATGTTAGGTGCAAGTTATAGACATAGGTTTTGACCGTAGTTGAAACACATCATCAAAACGTCTCCATAATCTTGATGAAACTAATTTTCAGTACGGAATTCAAAGTAATAGTACTTACTGTTATAGCCAGATATTTTGACAATCACCAAATATTAAAACATAATGAATGAAGTGTCAAGTCGCACAGAGTAATGATTACATTTCAATTCGATCAGTAGGTGCTGATGAACATTAGAAGCTAGAAAAAAAACTTTGCTACTCACTAAAGAATTAGTTTAAACTAAAGAATTAATAGTGAATTTTCCAGTAAAGTTTATTCTGATTGTAGTTCATTAATGCTTCATAGGATATTTAATTAGCTTATTTGTGACCAGTCTATTTATTCCATCAATAATACATCTGGTTGATAACGATAGTTAAATGAGAGTGATACTATTAACCCCTATCTCTAAAATCACAGCAAAATGTGATCTTTAAAATTACAGTGCACTTGAACGTTTACTGTGTTCAGTTTTTCACATACAATTATTTACATAAAACTTGAAATTGATCACTTAGGTTACAAATCAGGATCGCAACCTATGATATCAGTCAATTTAGAAATAATCTATTTGATATAACAAAGCAATCACAAACATTATGTAATAAAGCTTTAAATATTTTCATGTTATTGATACTGCCTTTGTGAATCTAAGACCCTAAACATTCTAGCCCTTTTAGTGTATTTGATCTGGTTGTTTACATTTTTTCTCACTCACTGGTTTATTGTCTATAAGCTAACATTACTTACTTTACTTACTTACGCCTGTTACTCCTTCTGGAAGAGCATAGGCCGCTTACCAGCACAATCTTGATCCAACCCTGACTTGAGCAATCCTTTTCATGTCTGCTTTCATTTTCCGACACAGTGTGTTCTTCGAGCTTCCTCTTTTTCCATTCGCATTCAAGAATCCAAGTTAGAGCTTGCCTCGTAATGAAGTTTGATGACTTGTGTAATGTATGTCCTATCCATTTCTGTCGTCTTTTCCTAATGTTTTCTTCAGCTGGAAGCTGGTTTGTTTTCTCCTACAGTAGGTTGTTGCTGATGGTACCGGCCAACGGACATTGAGTATCTTGCGTAGATAATTGTTCATAAGTACTTGTATTTTTTTATGATGGTTGCAGTAGTTCTCAAAGTTTCAGCTCCGTACACTAGGACTATTTCGTCGTTTGTATTGAAGATTATGACTTTGATGTTGGCTGATAGTTGTTATAAGTTCCATAGGTTCTTCAGTTGTAGGAATGCTGTCTTTGATTTGTCAATCCTCGTCTTTACGTCTGCATCGGGTCCTCCAATTTTGCCGTTGATACTTTCCAGATATGTGAAACTTTTCACCTCTCCCAGAGATTCTCCATCAAGTGAGATTGGATTGGTGTTCTCCGTACTGTACTTGAGGATTTTTTCTTTTTTCTATGTTTATGTTGAGGCCCACTCATGTAGAGGTTTCTGCTGCACTAGTTGTCTTCATCTACATTTGTTCCTGTGTATGGGATAAAAGGATCAGATTTTCTACCAAGTCCGAATCATCTAGTTACATGCAAGCTGTCTATTGTATTTCGTGTTTTTCCTCAGACGTTGAGGTCTTCATAATTTAGTCAACCACCAGAAGAAAGAGGACGAGAGAGAGTAAGTAGCCTTGTTTGACTCCGGTTCTCACTTGGAATGGATCTGTCAGCTGTCCTCCACGCACGACTTTTCAGTGTAGTCTGCTATATGAATTTCGAGTGATGTTGACGACTTTCTCAGGTACGCCATGGCGTCGATGAATGTTTCATAATGTTTTCCTATCTACACTGTCAAATGCTTTCTCATAGTCAAGAAGTTTGATGTATAGTGACGGATTTCATTCAATTGATTGTTCAGTGATGATCCATAGTGTCAGGATTTGGTCTGTGCATTACCGATCCTTTCAGAATCCTACCTGTTGATTCCAAAGTTGGGTGTCTACTGAGTCTTTCATCCGGTTCAGCAACACTGTTGAAAATCCTTCCTGGTACAGATAGCAGTGTGATGTGTTTGTTGTCAGTTCTCATATTTGCTAAGATCTTACTTTGGTATCTTAATGAAGTATCCTTCTTTCCAGTCCGTCGGCACTTATTCTTCCTCCCAAATCTTCCTAAACAGAGCGTGGAGCATGTTTGCAGTTACTTTTATGTCTGACTTCAGAGTTTCATGTGGTATATTTTCAAGTCCTACTACCTTCCCGCCCTTGATTTGTCAGATAACCATCCTGATTTCTTCGGTCGTTGGTGGAGTGACATCTACAGGAAGGTCTGTGTGTGTTGCATCGATGTTCGGTGGATTCAATGGAGACTACCTAATCAAGAGTTCCTCAAACTGCTCTACCTATCCGTTCCTCAGTTCTCTAATCTTAGTGATGGTCTTGCCTTTTTTGTACTTGACTGCTATCGTTTTGTTTTTCCTTTGTTGAATCTAGTTCTGGGTTTCGGTAGAGATTCATTCCTTATGATGATGCTTCTCGTGGCCCAGCACCTCCTAGCATGTTGAAGTTATTGCTTCTTTGGTCCCTTTCCAGTTGTCTTCCATCGTATTTTTCAATTATATCGGGTCTTCTGTTATTTTCTATTCAGTTCAATATTGCTTTGAATCATCTTAATAGGGCACAAAAAGATGTGACAAGCTTAAATCTGTCTTATGATAGAACCATATCCCATGTATCAACTTACCCAAAAACATTCATACATACATGCAACAAAGAAAAAAACAATTAGATATTTACTTGTAGTCTATCACGAAATTCTCGACCCCATACTTTTGTCGGTGTATCATTGTTCATTTCAAGATCTTCTTTTTCATCATTGACAACTTCAGACAATCTCATCAATCCTTCATAGAAGCTACTACTTTCCTCCATTAGTTGAATATTATTATTAATATTATTATCATTATTATTATTCGATAAACGACTGATATTTTCAAAATTAGGACAACGTTTTAATAAAAGGTGATTTTGTTCAGTTGTTTCAGTATTACTGTTGCCAGTAATAGTTGTTGTCGTTATATAATTTGAAACTGATGTATCTTGGGAACTACTATTATTGATTAGTGAACACTCTGATATATAATCTTCATGTTTATTTACATTATAATTAGTACTCAATAAATTATCATGTTGATTCATAGAAACATAATTTGAATTTAATTCATTTAACCAATTTAAATAAAGATCATTCATTGAAGGTTCATGATGAATATCATGATCTTTAATTGATGATTTTATAGTGTCATCTATATAATAACTTCCAACTGAAGTTACATTAGTAGTTTCTTTTGATAAAGCAGTATGAATAATATTATTTTCATTTTCATTGAATATACTACTATTAATTGTATCATAAGTAATATCGTTGAAACCAATGGTTTTATTTGAATTACTTGTACGTTGATATATATTTTCATCTATTTTACGTAAATCTTCAGCATAATCCCATGATTCATTTAAATTATATGGAAAAAATAAATTTAAATGATTTGAATTCATTTCATGATTAGATAATCTATTTGAATGATAAGAATTAGGTTGATCATAATATGAATGAATGAATCTGTCTTCATTATCATCATCATCATCATCATGATTATCAGTATTAACATCTTCAAAATAACTAGATTTTGATGATAAACATGGTTGTTGTTGTTGAATCGTTTGATTAGATAATGATAATACATGATCATCATTAATAATTATTGGACATGATTGTCTACGTGATTGATTATTGTATTGTAAATGTATATGATTTGAATATCTTCCATTATCTTGATTGGTTAACAAAGATTGAGATAAATGTTTTGTTTCATTATTATTATTATTATCATTATTAATAATTATATTCATATCTTCATTATATTCATCTGAATTATATTGTGGTATAATTAAACCAATTTTATCTTCATATGATTGTGTATAAGTGTTGCATAGTCTTGTTTTTTCTAAATTTTTCAATGAGATATCATCATCCTTAGAATATTGGTTTATAGATGATTGTCTATTATGATAAATCAATAAATTTTCTTCATTAAATGGATCATTTTTTTGATTAGTTAAATAAGAATTAAATGATTCTATTATATTTTCTTGATCATTTAATATAATTTGATCTGAATTAGATTTAATTAAATGTTCTTGATTATCAGAATAAGGAGTATTCAGATAATTCATTGAAGAGATAGTATAATCTTCAGGTATAAACTGTTGTTTATCTGTATGATGATCTGATAGGATGTTGGTTGGTGAAACTGAAATATTTTTGAAATAAACGTTTAAATTGTTTCCAATATATATAACGTTAATTTAATGTTAAAAATGATACACAAAATTAAATTTTAATATATGTGACGAGACTCTAATTTATGGACGAGCCAATCTGAAGCGTTTTGGAGATTTCAAAGTTACGGTGCCAACTTTAGTGCTTAATGCTAACGTACGATCAATTCACAGAGAATTTTGTACAAAGCGTGATAATTGAGCGGTTATGTGCATCGTGTCGTTATCCACAAGTATCATTTTGTGCACTCAAAAACCGGAGTACAAATAAACAATATTGGTTGAGACTGAAAGAGTTTTTGAGACTTTATCATGACTCCAGAGGCCGAGTATTCTGTAAACATATGGATGATTTCCTCTACTGCATGCATTACGATTTTAGAACCTCTGAACCTCTTTCTAACCTTGACAAGTTTTTGAACCCACGTATAAGAAGTGTATCCACTTTATTTCCTTCATTTTGTATAACATATTTTTACCCTATACTGACTGTTTGCTGATTGGCAAATGTTCTCAAGGTCGAGTAAGATTCGTTCGAAGGTCGTCCATAAATTAGGGTCTCACCGGGGTAATAATCGAGCTAAATGGCGACTTAATTGAGGTTGGAAGTATGAACTACTGAATTCTTTATTAATAGTATAAACATATTATGCCCTCAGAAAAATCTTAAAATCTTGTATTCTATTAACCATTTATGTAGGTAATTGTTTGAATGAATTATTCGTTAACTGAGTTAGTCAGTCAGTTACAACATAGGACAAGCCACATATATACATCGATAAAAGTTGCCGTATCGCATTAGCGCAGAAAGACGAACATCGGATTCAAAGAAGTAGTTAACTCAATTATTATTATTATTATTATCATCAGCTTTATTCAATATTATATTTTTGGTACAATATAGAATTCTCTGCGTAAAGTATTTCAACAAGTGTCCGTTTCTTTCTTCTTGGTCGGTCATGGCGATAAATATTGAGTGATCGCCAGGTAGATGTTAGCAGTTCACTAAATGATCATCTGAATAATGTGCATTCTCTTCGCTGTATATTGCCAGCAACCACATTGTCTCTTATTGAGTTTTTTGTAACTTTGACAACGAAAGGTTGTACACTTTTCAGAAACGCAGCAGAATAGGTTATGAGATTAATAAACATAATGATATATTAAAACAAACAAAAATAGATAACTTGTTGAAATATCTAGATGGCAGGAACAGGTAGCCCAGATGCTCAAGCAGGCCGCTCTTTATGAATATATAAAGGAAAGATTTTATGTAAGCATATAGCACAAGAAGAAGGAATAAGTTGGTAGGAAGAAAGATATGAAGCGATTTTAAATCTCAAAATTTAAGGGAAGACAAAGAGTGTATACACTTACGCCATTGTGATCGATTCTGAGCCATGTCACCAATAGTCTCCAACCATTGGTTACGATAGTCACACAAACCCCAAACAAGTAATCTGTATCTACCAGCATGACTCAGACTAGAAGTTAGTGACTTCAAGCACTGATGCCACGTTTTGGTTTAATCGCCTCTAACTTTCTTCCAACCATCTCAAACACAAGCATTACACGTCATGGTAATTGGTTACAGGCATGCGTAACACGTGACCCAACCATCTCATTCGATGAAGATTCACAACCTTATCAACTGATTCATCATCATTCCCTAATACCCTGTGTCTAACCTCACTATTACTTACTGGATGATCCCAGCAGATGTGAGCATTATTTCTAAGACATCTGTGATCAAATACTAGTAGCTTACGAGTATCTTCTATTCTTAATGGTCACGTTTCGCAGTCGTCAGGTAGAGCAGAATGAACCGCTGACCAATATACTCGTCCCTTAATTGATAGACGAATATCTCCCCTTCGCCACAGATGACGTAAGTTATCAAAAGCCAAACGACTTTTCTGAATCCATGCAGAAATTTTGTTAGACCTCAGTTAACTCGACAGAATATTTAAGATAACGTATCTCTGATAATGTAAGTCATAAATCATTCCTGACACCATATAATCTCTTCAATACGAAGAAAAAAATGAGATCTCTTCATATCTCAATACTGTCTAATATGCAAAGTACATTGTATTGAATAGTATAATTGATTATTTATGGGTAAATTAGTTAGATTTTTTTACCTGTACACCTTGAAAGATTTATTTGATCACTATTATCTAAAAGAACATTTGTATAAGTAGATTGAACAATTTCTTTCTTTTCAATAGCTTTTTCATCAATAACATCAATTGGTGTAATTTTTTGTATTTCATCAATCATGTCTATTCCATCATAACATTCTTCATGATGTAATTGTTGAACTATAGTTGATGATTTATTGTTATGTAAAATTGTTTCATTCAATTGATCATTTTGATTAGATTCATTAATTTTATCATGAAAATTAACAAAATCGGATTTCTGATTGTCTTTCTCATACACATTATCATCATCATCATCATCATCATCATCATCATCATCTTCTTCACTATCCATACTGAATTGTTCACTAACTTGTTTTGTAAAATACAAATGTAGACGATTTTGATAAGTTAGATTTTTATAATTATCCTTATCAACATCATCATCGTCATTATGAATAACATCATCATTTAGGCGTAAAAATTTCTGTCCCATTGATAGTTTTCTAGTTTCATTATTTACAGGTTGATTATCATTAATGGAATGATATAGTCGGTGTGTTGATTTAACCACCTCTTTAATACTGTTTTGTTCTGAAGCTCTTCTTTGATGAATATTTTTTAATATAGAATTTTCATGAGATTTTACAAGTTGTGTATTATCCTTCTGTATTAATTGTTTCCATTCTTCTTCTTTCTCTTCCTCACCATCATGTTCGTCTTGATCACCACTATTCACTGTAGATTCGTCTAAACTAACTTGATCAATTAAATCTTCATATTGAGAATAAGATGCTGTTCGTGTGATTCCATGAGTTTTCTTTAAAAATATTGGAAAAAATGAGTTTAATATAGACAAATAAATAACTTAAATAGTTGAAATTATGAGTCCTTTGAAGCCAGATCACCATGGAAAATTGGAAGCACTGGACGGCCGTGGATGCGTACTGCCGAAGATTTCCATACTAGGACGAAACGGCTGTCCAGTGCTTCCAGGTTTTCCGTGGTGGTCTAGCTTTAATTGACTCATGATTTCAATCAGTGAAATTCTAAAATCTCCACGAAACCCCTACTGAAAATAAATAATTATAACAATTTTTAATTATAACTTGGTAGTTATAAGGTTTAATATTATTTTTTTATGTCTTCATCTAGTTATGATTATTATGTTTCCCATTCGAATGCCATTATCTAAAGTATTTCAAAGCTTTGACCATAATCATATTACTGATTGTGAATTTGAAGTGTTTAGAGTTGATGCAATGCAATGAATCAATGAAATATTAATGCAATGTCAAAGGATTAGACTTAACAACCAGATCTTAATTGATTGAAGAATGAGTGACCTACAAGCTAATTTTCTCCATTCATATAAGACGTTTGACCATATTTATTTTGTGTTAATATTTTATATATGTGTGTTATTTTATTAGATGAAAAATCAATTCATTTGGCTAATGGTCTTATCTTTGATTTTTGATCGCCTGCGATAAGTCTTGAGAGTAGCCATTACTCAGTCAGATCAAATAATTGTGTTCATATATCGACTAGCATTCCGTCCATTGATTTTAGAAGTTTATATTTACTAATATAGGGTTATGAAGACTATTGAGTTTAGATTAATATCATGAATAGATAACTGTTAGACCATCATTGAAAACCTGCAAACACTGGATGGCCGTCTCATTTTAGTATAAGACTCCTGAGCAGTGTGCATATACGATCCCGCATGCGGGACTCGAACCCAAGACCTTCGATCTCACGCACGAACACTTAACCTAAATCGATCCAAGCTGAAAAATCTCCAAATCCCTATCATGTGCTCACTAGTGGCCGGCTTGAAGATGGATTTCCTGGAGTCCTAGTGAGAAGCCGTGACCAGTGGAGTCCAATCCGTGTCGCGTGTGGGGCAGTTACTCACTGAAGACAATGGTGGAAGGTCGTACAATATCGTTGATTAGTTGAAGTAGGATATTAACACCTCTGGATGCCGACTCAGTGGTCTTGAGTTTAGGGTTTTCAGTTCGAGTCCAGCATTTGAGATCGTGAATGCACACTGCTGAGGAATTCCATACCAGAACGAAATGACCGTCCAGTGTTTACTGGTTTTCAGTGATGGTCTACTATTGATCCATTCATGATATCAATCTAAACAATTTAGATTTGTTTAATCTAATCACAGAAGATATTCTCCATAATATATGTTAAACATCTTTCCAAAACTTACTCAAAATGAATTCAGTTACGAAGAAAGAATATCATATATTACTGCTACAGAGAATTTTTCAAAGAGGTTTTAATATTTTCTTTGTTTATTTAAGATCGGTCGGTATTCAGAATCTGTTATCTAAATGTATCACACTCACGTTGAGACTAAAGTATCTTAGAATTCATCATGTAGAAGTTTTTTAATCTTAAACTAGAATGAAATAACAGTTCAAAATCTTTTTTTATTCAATACATTTGGTAATTATTACTGTAGTAATAAATGTAGTATTATCTTTAGTGCCCGACAAGTCAATAAAAATTTTTTCCAATTTCTATGATGGATCATCGCGGATCCAAATTTGGTTTAGAATTGTCAATATGCACATTGATAAAAATTGTTTAATGTTATTAAAATCTCGGACAGACACAATTTAAATGAATATTTAAAGCCAAAATGCAATAGACAGTTGTTACAGCTTATCATGAAACTCATGAATGTGTAATCGATACACACTATTGAAGAGCCCCATACCAGGACGAAATAGCTGTCCAGTTTTTGATAGAGCTTTGTTCTCTGAGCAGTTGTGCCAACAGCAAAAACCACTACATCGGAGAAAGTGGACGACCCCTTCACCTTCGCCTACGTGAACATCAATTAGTAGTACAAAACGCCATGATATTTCCTCACTTATATCAATACACGTGAACAACTGCGGACACGCATTCGACTGGAAAAATGTGGAAATCTTGGACAGAGGAAATTCCAAAAACACCAGAGAATTTTTAGAAGCCTGACACTTAGGTCAATTAGCAATCAACAAGCATATTGAAATCAATCCAATTTATCAACCAATCAAGAAAATCATGCACAAATATAGGATCAAAAATCAAACCAATGGGAGACAATCAAAACAAAGAACTAAACAATGACAAATTTAAGGTCAATAAGAACCAGTCAACATCGACGTGTACAGAACAAGCTGTGAAGCGCATATGAAGCAATTCGAATATTTCACTTCTATCTGAATTTTGTGCTGATGATGTCAGTCAAATGAACGATGAAAGCTCCACGACTAAACCATCCAGCTCAGAGAACAAAACTCTATCAAAATCATCCACCTGAGCTACATATCTTCTCCATAGCTGTCCAGTGCTTATTGATTTTCAATAGTTTTTTTTTAAAACTGAAGTTCGAGTTCTTCTTGATATGATGGAAAGAAAGGTCATTTTTCGATTGATTTACTCATTATGAGTTCTGTTCAAGATCACTTCCGTTTTGATTCAACGTAATGATTATTCAATGCAGTATTTGTTTCATTGTCTCGTATGATATTTTATTCTGTATAATATGCGATATTCTTGTATTCCATTGACATGAACTATGCTCAGTATGTGATTTATTATAACTCTAAGTATGTTTCATGTATGTGATTACATTCTGATTATTAATCAAAATGAGTGGACAGTCAATAAATGAGTGTATTTTCGACTAGAGTCGTCGTCGTCTTCGTATTTTGTGGCTAATAAATCATCAATTATGGCAGTCTTTGTGTTTTTACTTTCGCGTTGTGGGAATTGCAGAGGTCCTACTCACTGCCTTCTCGTGGTGGGGGTGTTGTTTACAAAAATGAGAGGACGAAAAGCGAATGTCCGGAGCTTTAACCGGATTCCAAACCAATGGTGCACATGGGCTCCAGTATCCTGCGGGAACAAATGGCGTATGAACCAATTGTTGGTCACCGGCTTCCATGGGACTGCATCTCCTTACGATGCTCCACTGCCTTGTGAATCAGACCTTCAGGTCGAAGGCTCCGGGTGTGGCCCCCTAAGAAAACCACCTGCTTCGGTTTGGGCACCCGGGCAGTATCACAGCCCTCACACACATATCGAATGAGATTTGTGTGGCACATATGTATTTGGTGCCTCTTTGTACCATTATCTATGTAGTGAAATAAATAAATAAATAAAATAATTGCAGAGGTCCCTCGTAACTAGTATAAGTGATAAGCGTTTCTGACATAACAATCAGCGACAACCAGATACAAAAAGCAGCATTAAAAGAGCCAAGACAATAAGCATTCAAATGACAAGTTATAACATTTCTGTAGACGATTCTTTAAAAAAAAACGTTTAGGTAACTTACCTGTATTAGTTTTTGTAATTCTTTCGTTTGTTTATTATTGTTATGTTTAGGAAGACGTTGTAACCAACTACCAGAACTGACAGTCAATTGACGTTTCTTTTGACATAATTTACACAACCAAAACACTTCCTGAATGAAATAAACGAAAGCGGAAATTATAAGAGGAAAAAAAGATCATATTTTGGGATAAATGAATACTAGAATGATCAATCTTTCTAACCGATTATTCTAGACTTTTACTATGTCAAATAATAATAATCTACAATCAGAAAGGGGGTTTTGTAGAGACTGTAGTAATTTAATAATTGAATTCATGAATCGATTGATGCTAAATCACCATGAAAAACCTGGGAGCACTGGATGACTTCCACAAACCCCTATTCTGATAACAATCATCATGTGCTCACTAGTGGATTTCCTGGAGTTCTAGTGAAAAGCCTTGATCAGTGGAGTCCAATTCGTGTCGAGTAGACATAGGTACCTCAGATAATGGTTGAAGGGCTGGACAAGATCATGGATCGATTGAAGTTAGGCATGAACACTGTTGGATGCCGACTCAGTGGTTCAGAGGTTAAGCATTCACGCGCGAGACTGGTGGTGTTTGATTCGAGTTCCCAGTGCGGGATGGTTGATGTTCACTGCTGAGGAGTCCCATACTGGGACGAAATGGCCGTCCAGTGTTCCAAGGCTTTCAGTCGTGGTCTGACTTAGATCGATTGATGAATTCAATTATTAAAAATACCGCAATCTCTATAAACCCACATTCTGAGAGTAATAATAATAATAAATGTTGATCTCAGCAGTTTAAAAATCCCCATGGAATATTCAAAAATGAAGAATATTTGAGCGAAAAATTGTTTTCAATAACTTCAGGTTCTACAGTTATAAGTCCATAATTATGGTATTTCACAAAGACCAAAAATAAGGTATGTATTTAAACTGGATTTTCCAGACGACTTTAAGCGGTATGTTTTTAACTTTTCCTCCGTTAATCTCGATAGGACTCAACTAGAAGTGTTATCATTAGGTCCTAAGTTTTGTGGTAGTCGTAGACATGTGGATAATTTGAAAACTGATGTTCAATTCGAGAATCTATTTGCCCAGACACAAGCCTTAATGCCTACGACAAAGGTCGAACCACGCTGGTTGATTGTTGTCACTAATTTAAAAGCAACAAGTATTACACAAATAGTATATCGACTGATAAACATCGTTAGGTCATCCGGAAAGTTAAGTTGAATGAAAACATTCTTATCACTAAACCTGACAAAGGGTCGAGCACTGTAATTCTAAGCAAGACAGATTAAATAGATAAGATGAATTCCCTACTGAGTGATCAAACTAAATTCCAAAAGCTTGGGTCATGTAAAGACCCCAATGAAAAAGCCGAACGTCAACTAACTGCAACATTGAAATTTTTAAAACAACATCAATACACCTCTGAGCATACCTATAATGCGCTCAAGCTTTCTGGAACACATACCCCTCGTCTACCTAAGATTCATAAACATGATGTTCCTTTATGCCGGATTCTGGATATGTCAAACTCACCATACCATTCAACAGCAAAATGGTTAGTTAAATTATTAGAACAATTTCTAGAAAAGAAAACAGAGATACCGATTCCAGTAAGTAAAATGGAAGGACTGTTGACATGCACTATGAATATCTAATGTAAGTTTAACAATGAATTTTTCAAACAAGTAGGTGGGGCAGCAATCGGATCATCTTTAGGCCCGATCCTTGCTAATATTTTTCTGCCCAAACCAGAAAATAGACCGTTTAAAGACATCTTAAGTAGGCTTGATTATTACTTTCGATACATAGATGACACACTAGTCGTATGTGACGAAAATATCGACAAATAGGAGATGTTAGACTCCTTTGATAACGCCCACCCAGCCATTAAATTCACCGACGAGGAGGAGAAAGACAATAGTATAGCTTTTCTGGATATCCTACTTTCTAGAAAGATAGACGGTTCCTTAAAGCGAAATATATTTAGAAAGAGTACATTGACGGGTCAGTATACCCATTTCCAAAGCTTCACACCTCTTCAATAAAAAATAAATTTGGCTAAATGTCTCAACCACAGAATCAAGTTATTATGTTTTGAAGACAGTGTGGATAGCGAAATAATTATATTAAAGAACACACTACGAAATAATGGCTATCCAGATAATTTCGTTAAAAAACACCTAGAAGAAAGTACTAAAAAAAGAAGAAATTGTGACACAGTCAGTAAAAAAACCATATGTCTGAGACTAGACTTTAAAGGGGACATAGCGGGTGATATTTTAACATGTCGACTCAAAAGACCTGTCGAAAGGACGTTTCACCCCACCAAGCTACACATACTTTTCTCAACTAAACCAGTACTCACACAACTAATCAAGGATAGGTTACCGAAGATGGGCTCCTCCATGTGTGTATACCGATTCAACTGCTCTTGTGGAGCTAGTTACATAGGCCGTACTCATAGGGCGTGTTCGTGAACATGTACCAGGTTTTCCATAGTGGTCTAGCTTCAATTGACTCATGATTTCAACTATTAAAACCATAAATGTATTAGAATTTTACATTGTGATAAGAAATAGTATGGAATAATTGACCTAGGTGATTGTAAAGGATTGGAATGACAAAGGTTATCGATGATAACTATATATAGACAAGAACAGGTGAGAGGTTATTTGGTGTTAGAATCAAAGTAACATTAAGGATTGGTGGTGCAATAATTGAGTTCAGAGACGGATAAGATAATTTGTGTGATAATTTTAGTAGTTATCAAGGAATCATGGAATTAAAAACTTATAAAGATGTGTTACGTAATAATTGAATAAAATTTGAAAAGTTCACATAATTTATAAGAGAATCAAGTGAGTGGAAATATGTGAGTGAAGAGGTGGTTTAAGAATTCGGTAACAGAAGAGGAATATAACACAGACGAAATATTAACAAAATAAAACTAATAACCAAAAGACAAAAAATATATTTTGATGTTTGATTGTATTTCCTTGAAAAAGCTTGAACCAGATTGCCAGGCGAAACGTTAGATTTATTTCAAGTTCTTTCGCTGAGATTTTACAAATACATTCCGCCTCTTTAATGTCTCACATCAACTCAGCGCCCAAATACTGTGAAACTATTCGGTCAAATTTAGACGAAAGTTTTTATTTAAATATATAAATAGTTATCTTTGATAACATTTGACATTCTAATCTCTTACATTCACTTATGTCAATTGTTCCATACTATTTCTTATCTCAATGTAAAATTCCAATACATAATTGGTTGTAAGCAGTTGATCAGAACCTACGAAATATAATGAATTCATAAGATGGTAAAGATTTGTGGCTGAGGTTGATGCTTTTGATGGAGAAATTCGAACACTTCAATTTTATCTGAAGTTTGTGCTGATGATGAAATCACCACAACCAAACCATTTAGCTCAAAGAACAAACCTCCATCAAAATAATGAATTCATATGATTCTGCATCAATATTTGTTCTAACATTATTTTTTTATAAAACAATGAATATTGTTTTTTCGATGAATATGAATTTTATCAGAAGGGGTTTGGTGGAGATTTTAGAAATTTCACTGATTGTAATCATGAGTTAATTGAAGCTAGACCACCATGGAAAACCTGGAAACACTGGACGGCCGTTTCATCTTAGTAGGGGACTGATAAGTCCTGAGTTCGAATCTCGCGGTGTGCAGAATCGTGGATGTACACTTCTGAGGAGTCCCATACTAGAACGAAACGGCCATCCAGAGTTTCCAGGTTTTCCATGGTGGTCTAGCTCTAATTGACTCATGATTTCAATCAGTGGAATATGAAATTAATGTAGGCTAGTTTCTTGATTATTTATAGTCACAAAATTGATTTAAACAAAATAGATCTAACATTAATTACTACAGTATATAATAAATTCATTACATTGAATAACTTTCATTTCACTTATATATAAGTTAATAGGTTTAGTTATATTCAGTTACTAACATAACTTTCAACTGGAACAAATGAATAATCTATAAACAGTAATTTGTTTACATTATAAATGAAGTTAATCATTAATTATGTATAATATAAGCAATAATATGTATTCTATTTCTTAGATCTCGGCAATCTTTAAAGAAATAATCAAACCTGTCAATGATATATGGTAAAGGAAACATGAAGGAATCAATGTTTAAACGTTCATAACTTATACTCCTTAAACTATAATGAGAAAGTGATGTTTGCTAGAAACGCTTAGAATGGTATATGTAGTAATAGATGTTTATCGTCCAGAAAATAAATATCTTTAGGTATTTATGAAGAAATTATGGTAAAATGTTTTCGAACCTAAAGAGAAAATGGGTTTTCATACAATTGATTTTCATCAAAAGTGACCAAATCACACAAAAAAAATCATTTTGGAAACTAAAGTCAGTTATAAAAAGTATATTCCTAAAAGCGAAATTGTTTTCACAAACTTAATAACACAAAAAAAGGTAAACGAATATCCGTCACACGTCACCAACTTTATATATTAATCTACCTGTAGGTTCAATGGGTTATTGATTGGAACAATAAAAAATACGGTCATCTACATTCACAAGAACCTAATTATTCAATGACAAATAGTTTACAAAGTTCAACTTCACGTCACCTTAGTTGAACAGATATATTTAAATTAATCAATAAACAACCTAGCTATACCTTATTAAAATTCAAAGAAGAGATAGAAATTCGAAGTCTTATTCAAAACAGGTATATAGTTAACATTTATATATCTTGGCAAAAGACAATTTAACCTTTATTCTCATTCCTTCACTCTTTAATTAATAATGAGTACAATCTAATGAATTCAAATTAAATAAAGATTATTTCTTAATCTCTTGAATTTTGATACAACACATAGTAAAAACTAACCTAAATTTTATTGAAATCTCGAAATAATCAAGTTCGAGCAATTATTGGAAGCTTAAAAGCATTAGACAGCCATTTTTCTTAGTATGGAACTACTCAACAGTGTGCATCGATTAATCACACCAAGAGTGGATCTATCACTTTATCTCTAGATCAATAGACTGAAATACGTCAGTGTACAAGCTTAACTTCCATTAGTCTAATATTAAACAATTTTGTAACCATCATGCCAAATATTTCTAAGAATCATGTTTTAACTTTAATTATCTTAATAATTCAAAATAACTAAACATAGTCGCTTGTATGGAAGTGAAAAGAAAGTAACAAAATATACTATTGAAATTAATATTATTCAAGTTTTTACTAAACTCAGAGCTGAAACTTGGAGAACTACAACAACCACCATCAAGAAGGTACAAGTATTTATAAATAGCTGTCTACGCAAGATACTCAACATCCATTGGCCGGACACCATCAGTAACAGCCTTCTCTGGGAGAGAACAAACCAGCTTCCAGCTGAAGAAGAAATTAGGAAAAGACGATGGAAATGGATAGGACAGACATTACGCAAATCATCAAACTGCATCACAAGGCAAGCCCTAACTTGGAATTCTGAAGAGAAGTAGAAAAGAGGAAGGCCAAAGAACACATTACGTCGGGAAATAGAAGCAGATATGAAAAGGATGAATAAGAACTGGAAGGAGCTGGAAAGGATTGCCCAGGACAGGGTTGGATGGAGAATGCTGGTGATCGGCCTATGCTCCTTCATGAGGAGTAACAGGCGTAAGTAAGTATGTAAGTTTAACTAAAGTCGTATAGCATCTATGTTGGAGAAGATAACATGAAGATAGTAATCGTTTATTCATACCGTTTTCTTTTTTTATCTACAATGTGACAGGTCCATTTAACTGAAGATGTTTAACACATACACAAAGTTTCGTAGTTCTCATGTGGCTTAGACAAAATGTGATGTAAAAAAAACATCTAGGTACCAATTCCATTGTATAGACGTAAAATAGTATGATTATAAGCAAAATTTCTAAGATATCTATCTTCCTGTAATAACTACTTACTTGTGAAATTAACTCAAGAATATCGAGTTAAAACTATAGGACATTTACATGCTTGTGAACTTTATTAGCAGAATTGTATGCAAAACGTGTGTCATATTCCGAGCTACCCTCAAGCTTAGTGCGCAGTGCTGCCTGCAAAAGGATTTCGTTTAACGAAAGATAAAGATATTTGACCTGGGAATTAGTATCGTTGCATAAATTCATTGGTTGCTAGTTATAGATATACAGAGAATAAAATCATTTCTAGTGAAATTTTTCTCTTATAAATATAGACGTCATACGAGTTAATAAAAAACACCGGCTTCACAATGAACTTTCTGGAGTTCTAGTGAGGAGCCGTGACCAGTGCAGTTTAACCGTGTCGCATGTGGGGCAGTTACTCACTGAAGACAGCGATCGAAGATCGCGCAATATTGTCGATTGGTTGAAGTGAGACATTAACCCAGTTGGATGCCGGCCGGCTCAATGGTCTAGATGTTAAGCGTTCACACGTGAGACTGCAGATCTTTAGTTCGAGTCCAACATGATGTGGAGTCCCATAATAAGATAAAACGGCCGTCCAGTGTTTGCAGGTTTTCAATGATGGTCTAACATTGATCCATTCATGATATCAATCTAGACTCAACAATCTCCATAACCCTATACTGTTAAAAAAAACATTATCATAAATGCTTTCTTCTCTTGACTCCTAAGAGTTCTACACCTTCTAAATGTGTATATTTTTTCTTGATCTAGTTATTTCGATCGTATAGTGAGAAGATAGAGATGATAAAAAATACGGTGTATTTGCACTACACATTTCAATCTGTTAGGACACTTTTGTATATAAACCAATAATTGTTTGTTGATTCAAAGTTCCATAAATATAAAGTGATAATTGGAAATAAAGAAAAAAAATTAATTTTAAGTAGGTAGAATAAGAAGTCATTACACCATCATACGCCTTAAAATGAATAAAAAACTAACAGAGTAAATTTAAGTTTGGAACAAACAATTTATGTTTACATAAAGAAAGTTTGAGTTTTCTAACAGCCAAAGTTTCTACAAAACTGAAGAAAGCCCCATTGACAATTTCTAGACAAAGCCTCAAAAGCTATTTTGCAATCTACCGACTGTGTCTATCGAAGGCATTCTGCATCATGATAATAACAATCTATAATAAAAACAACCAACCATCACAAGAAAATGTATTTACTGAAAAAGGTGTTAGACTTACAGAATCAACATTTTTACTAATCTGTACTACACAGTTTGGGCACAGAGTATTCTGACAATCATGACATGCTTTCCAGTCTTGTTCAGAATATTGACCTTCTGGTAATGGAGTTTGTCCACAGAGTATACAACAATAAACTTGCTTTGTAACATCTTGATTTGATAGTGAAACACGACGTTTAACAACTTGCTCAGTATGTTTTAGTTCAGTTTGTAGTTTTCTATGAACAAAATTAAAAATGAGAATGCAAAATCAAAGATGTACACCAGTACGTGATTAAGCACAATTTACGAATGATAATGAATACATATTATTTTATGGTTCTAAAATGCTAAAAGGTAAATCATTGTCAAATAAAATTAATAAATGATCGTTCAGTTATCGGAAATAAAAAATGAGAACTCCTGGATTCCAAAGCATCGATGTAATGAGCTCAAGATGCTACCTGAAGGCTTTTTGTTTGTCCTATAAAGGGGTCATCAGTGGATACTACTTTACAGTACTGTCTAGCTTTCAACAGCTAACATGTGAATTCAGTACATGCTAAGAACTGTTTCAAGACGTAATGGTGAAGTATTTTGTAGAATGGGTGGATTTTGGCTAACAATGGAATTCAAAACACCCATTTTGTTCGATATAGTAATCGTCAGCTTGATATTCTAACATTCCACTGGTGATATTCACCTCCGGACCAGAACCAGATATCTTTCAATTCAAACGATTAATGTCCGATTCACTGGGCTACTAATTCCAGATGGCCACTGATCCATCCACCGTTGATAAACTATATTTTTTCTTTAGTTTTAAACCTCTTATTAGAATGACTGCATAACATTCACTAAGTTTGAAACAAAAACAAAAATGTTTTCAGTTTATGGAGAGCAAAATATCATATTCTACACGGTAAAACTCTAAAACGTCATTTCTTTCTGCATAAGCTTGACTATGTAAGCCAAATACCTTCATAAGAATCTCAAAATATTCATTAAGGATCAACGAACTATATGTAGTTCTCTTGAATAAAGCATTCATTTGAAAATTCATTTACTTTTAAGACTGATCATCAATGAGTCGTTGAATAGGCATACTATGAAACCATTTGTAAGAGTAAATTATTAAAGAATTTCAAACTCAACGATAAAATACCTGACCATGTTTCCATGATTCTCATTATTCCACTAACTAATCTTCATATAGAACATACAGTATCATCCTTTTGAAATTCATTTTAAAACACAGTCTACCAAATGTATCTACATACAAGTTTACATACCTAAGTATTGACAAATTCATTCATATAACACATAATTTTGTGCCATTCAACACATAAACTATCAATGAAACGACGAGTATACTGTGTGGCAGTTCGTTCTGCTCTACCTGACGACTGCGAAACGTGACCAATAAGAATAGAAGATACTCGTAGGCTACTGGTATTTGATCACAGATGTCTTAGAAATAATGCTCACATCTGCTGGGATCATCGAGTATATAATAGTGAGGTTAGACGCAGGGTATTAGGGAATGATGATAAATCAGTTGATGAGGTTGTGAACCTACATCGACTAAGACGGTTGGGTCATGTGTTACGTATGGCTGAACACCGATTCCCACGACGTGCGATGCTGACTAGTATTAGGGATGGTTGGAAAAAAGTTAGGGGTGGCCAAAACAAAACGTGGCATCAGTGCTTGAAGTCACTAACTTCAAGTCTGAGTCATGCTGGTAGATACAGATTACTTGTTTGGGGTTTGTGTGACTATCGTAACCAATGGTTGGAGACTCTTGGTGACATGGCTCAGAATCGATCACAATGGCGTAAGCGTATACACTCTTTGTCTTCCTTTAAATTTTGAGATTGAAATCGCTTCATATCTTTCTTTCTACGAACTAATTCCTTCTTCATGTGCTATATCCTAATATGCAATCATTCTTTCATATATTACCACCACTGACTCAACCACTCGTATGAATCTGGTGTTCATCTTGCTGTGCTAATGCGGTATGACAACTTATACCGATGTATATATATGCCTAGTCTTACAATGTAGCTGACTGACTGAATTGAAGCGGTTTTATGAGAGTTGATTTAAATTACATTTTATATTGATATAGATAAAGAAAAATTATCATATAATCGGAACACAACAATGTTTACTGAATAGAACAAATTCATCATTACCATTATATTGTTACTATTTTCTCTTAACTATTATACAAATTAAGCTTGTATTTTATATCATCTGAATAAAAATTAACAAGGTATATTGTTAGGATGTGCAGAAAAATATACCAATAGTTATCATGTTAAGTCTAATGTTGTCCTTGGACGCTAAATGTACATTCCCTATTGGTCGATATTTACTTCACTTGTTTAATATTGTGTAAATGTTGTTTTCTATTTTTATGGTACGATGTGATATGTTTGGTTAGTATATAAATAGAGTATGTCTGAAATACAATGATTCATATCTCAGAGGCTGTGACTTTCGTTCTGGACTCAACTGGCTGGGATAGACAGGGAATCAGGGCCAATCAGGACACTAGGTCGTTCATTACGTGTTTACGTGTCACTGCGGTCGATCGATATAAACGCTGCTTATTAAAACCTGCACCCACCCGTTACAACATATAGTGAACTGGATTTATCGCAAAAATAGAAACATTAGAGAAAAGATATGAACTGTACTCTTTCATCACCCGTAATTTCTACAATAAACTAGATTTCTAATGACAATATAGTGAAAAACAATAACTTAAAAATTATATACCTAAAGTCTTTAATCTGGGTCAGTCAATGAAACCTTATTGGAAAGTTACTTAGTTGTTTGTTCAAACTGATCAGTTATCATCATCACCATCGTCATCAATAACATCATCATCAACAACAATCATAACAATAACAAACAAAAACAATCGATAATAGATAAACGATGGATATATGAAGTTAATTATTTATTAAGAATATAACATTATTATCATGATTTTTTCTCTCTTTTGTTTTATTAATGTTTACTTTTTCTGCCTTGTTTGAATTCTGAATATATCAAACAAAACAAAATGATAACTGACAGAAACTTATGTCAAATAAGTTTATCAATCAATCACATTCTAGTTAATAGGATGTTATTATTATTAATTTATCATTCTATGTAACGTACTAAGGAGAATGAGTGATGTTGAAGGTAAAGATAAAAATGAATAAGCATATGAAATAAAATAAATGAATCAAGGAGTAAATATATATTCTTGTAAAATAAAATTTATAGGATCTCTTAACTAACTTAAAAATCTATTATTACAATCATGAACGAAATAATAATCACACACTGAAATCATGAACGGATCAATGTTAGACCACTATTGAAAACTTGGAAATACAGAACAGCCGTTTCGTCCTAGTACATCACTCCTCAACAGTGCCTGTTTAAGACCTTGCATGGAGGAGTCTAACCAAGGAATTTTAATCTCGCTCACGAACGCTTGACCGGAGCCGCGATTCAACGGTGTGAATGGGTAACTTTAATCAATCTGCGATATTGCGCCACAATCTTCATGATTTCAGTGAAACTCAACGATCTCTACAACCATATACTGACAATCAAAATGTGCTCACTAATGACTAACTTTGAAAGGGAATTCTCGGAGTTCTATCGAGAAGCAGTGACCAATGGAGCTCAACCGTATCGTGTGAGAGGTAGTCACCAGGTGAACACAACGGTAAATAACCGTGTCATTTTACTAATCCATTGATCCCGGTTCGATGGTCTACAGGTTAAGCGTTCACGAATAAGACTGAAGGTTTTGGGTTCGATTCTCCCATGCATGATTGTGCTTACGCACGACTTAGGGAACACATACTGCGATGAAACATCCACACAGTGTTTATATGTTTTCAATGGTGACCTAACATTGATCATTTTACGATTTTAGTGAAACTCAACAGTCTCCACAACCCTGCATCTGATTATAACCACACAATCTAAGATATTCAGATTCATTTTTTAATATTTGATCACATATATTTCGTTCCTAGTATTGTGTTGATTAACTTCAATTAAATGCATATTCACATATTATATGTGATAATCATTAGCCGATCCTAACTTAAAAAGAATTTAATGATTAACTAATCTAATCTAGTTATAGGAAGTGCTATGTAACCTATGCATAATAATAAAAATATCTTTAGTACTGTAAAAAGACAGTACTCTCATCATTCTGAAAAAGAAGTCTGATATGTCAGTCAGTCAGTAACAACGTAGAACCTCATACGTACGTACATCAGTTCAAGTTGCCACACCACATTAGCACAGATATGCAGTGGTCGACTCAAATTCCGTACTGGTAGAGGTAGTAAGATTATAAGAAGTAATCGGAAAGATTAGAGTTTGAAGATGTTATTTAAAGAGTATAATACAGTGAGATAAATTTGGAAAGAGAAAAAAAGAGACAAGGAGGATTCAGGAAACTAGAATTTGGGAGAACACAAAGAGTGGATGCAAACGATTTTGAGTCATCGGTTGCTATCATCGCGCGGTCCCCAACCAGGTAGTCTACACCTACCAATATGACTCAGTCCATTTGTCAGTGACTTCATGAACTTGTGCCATGTTTTGGTCCGGCCGCTCCTAGCTTTCTTCCAACCTACTCCTATACCACTGAACATCGCACGTCGAGGTAGTCGGTGCTTGGGCATACGTAACATGTGTCTCAACCATCTCAACTGATGAAATTTCACCACTTCATCAATGGATTTGCCATCCTTACCTAGTACCCGTGTCATAACAACTGCGTTACTTACTCGATGATCCCAGGATATACGAGCAATGTTTCGAAGACACCTATGATCGAATACTAGTAACCTACGAATATCCTCTACTCTTACCGGTCACGTTTCACTGCCATAAAGTAGGACGCAACGAACTACTGCGCAGTAAACACATCCTTTGGTTGATAGACGGATATCTCGCCTACGCCATAAATGACGCAAGTTGGCAATGTAATGACAAAAAATTAGTTTATATAATTAGTAAAACACAGAAGAAGTATAAACGTTTTATGTCTTCTTCCTTATTAATAAAACATCTATTCATAAATATCAGCATTTGAGAAATCACCCTTAGTTTAGAAATCTTTATAGAATATTTAAGAACGAAGAATATTTGAGCGAACCATTGATCACAATAACTTCATCATCAGGTTCTATAATTATAAGTC